GGTTGAGGGTTGAGGTTGAGGCTTAGGGTTCGTGCTCAAGGTCAGGCTTAGGGTGTTCGGGTCAGGGTGCTTGGGCCTGGTGCTCAGGGTTAGAGTTTCAGTGCTCGGATGAAGATGTCATGGATCGGGTGTCGAGGTTAAGCGTGTTCGGGCTAGTTAATTCGTGCTTGGGATTGGGGTTAGGGGGTGAGGGTCGAGGGCTTTGGATCAGGGTTCGGGTGTTCAGATTATGATTTTAGGGTTTGGGGTAGTGCCTAGGATTAGGTACTAACGTGTACTTCGCTCCCCGCAAGATCTTGTCGTGTGAAACTGGTTTCCACCTTTTTGTAATCGGGAACATCGGCAACACCTTCCTGTCCTGGCCACGTGATACAACAATCTGCTTCCGAATCGTCTGGGCAATGCTCCGCCCACCTCGTGCGTGGAGCAGAGCCAGCCCCGCTTCCCCAGCGGTCGCTGGGCCCTTCTCCAGGTGGGGCGCTTCTGCTCTCGCGAAGGCGTCCGGCTCGAAGCCGCGGCACAGGTGCTTGCGGTCTCACGTGAAGGCCGACGCCGCGGCGACACTTGCGCTTTTGTGCCCCTGCCCAAAGGTGCGTCGGCGCTGCCCTCCGCAGCGCTGGTGCCACCCGGCCGGCCCTCCGATGCGGGGGCGCCAGGAAGCCCTGCGCGAAGCCGCAGCAGGCGGCCGGCCTCTCGTCGTCAAAGCGGTTGGGCACGGGCGGATCGATCTGTGCCATGGCTCCTCCGCGCGAGGCCGCGGAGCCCTTCTCTGCAATGTCTCGCCTGCTGCCGCAGCGGAGAGGCCAAAGGTCGCGCAGTAATGCAGCCTCCAGTGCGCCCTCAGATGAGATGGGCAGCCTCTTGTGCTGTCCGACCTGCCTGATGGTGCCCTCTCTTCAAGCGTCGGCACACTGTCTACGACTCAGGCGTTTTAAAGACCGGGACGCTGTGGCCGTCGATCACATATCGGGTCGAACCTTTCCAAGCTGCCTGTTCGGTTGGCATGGCAGTAATCTGGAAACTGATCGTACGCAGCCGAACAGCCCGTACTTCAACAAACAATGAAACGCGCGAGCCTGTGACCTCTCGCGGGACGACAAATTAGGCGCGACGTTGCGTAATTGATAGACTAACTAGCGACTTGGCAAGCGATCGCACCTGCGCAGAAGGCGATCCCCGCTTCAAAACAATTGTTCTAGCGAGCCGCACCCGTGCGATACGAAAATATGAGGGAGCAATGCATGATGCTGGTTGTAAATGCCGCGTCGAGATGCCGCACCACGGAATTCCACTATGCACCCCAACGAATTGACCCGCAGCTAAACGAAGACAAGGCGAGAGCAAAAGGAGGGGCGGTGGTAAGGCAGGTGGTGGATGAGGGGCAACCGCGGCTGGTGATCGCGCGCCCCTCCCGTCCTTCCCTTCCCCCTTCTCCCTCTGCTTCTCCTACGTATTTCCCCCCCCCTCCCCCCTCACGAGGGAAGGAAGGGGGGAGGAGGCGAGGGAGGGGGAGGACGAGGAAGGGGGAGAATGGGGAGGAGGATCTACCCCCGGCCAGACCATGTCAGAGCCCTGCACCATCGGCCCCTCCACCCTCGTCCTTTGACCTCCTCCCCTCCTCCTCGTCCTCGTCATGGTCCTGGTCCTTGTCCTCGTCCTCCTCCTCTTCCTCCTCGTCATCCATCCCTCAAACTCATATATAGCTCCCTCCTGTCGTATCACCAGACGTGTCTGCAAGCCAGACGTTTCGCTCAAGACTTCCGTGCAGCCTACTATATGTAAGATAAACATACTCCAACAACTACAAGTATGGAGTTGCAGTCGTTTCCCCAATGAGGTTATCGCCTTAGCGCCGCGCGCATTCGTATATTATAAACCCCATTTGTTCCAGGATGCAGGTTCGGTCGTTTCTACAATGCGGCGCTCTCCTTGGCCCAATGCACATTCGCCTTCTCAAGAGCCGCCTGTTACAATAAGTTTGGCCAGTTCGTTTTCAAATTACAGCTCTCGCCTTGGATTCGTGCTTTGACATCATACACAGCTACGAAGATGAAGGGGGAGTTCAAAATGCGGCTCTCGCCTTATCTCCGCACGTGTTCGAATGTCCAGCAACCAAAAAGGGGGAGGCGCGCGCGTTTTCAAAATGCGACTACCGCTTCAGAATTCCTCGAACCGTATCACCCAAAATTCTAAGGTGTGCACCAATTGCTCCGGTGGAGTGCCGCTACTTTTCCACATGGGGCTCCCGCTTGAGACCTCCGCAGCAAAATTGGCACCCATCAGCTTGGCACCTTGCAACACATGCACAGATGGAGGGCAGATCCAGTTCAAAACTGGACTATCCTTGGGCACTTGGCTGGACAATGCCATGCTACATAATTGCGTTGATCTTGGCTTGAAGGACGGAGCGCGGATTCTTCACAAAACGGGGTCTCGCCTGAGTGGCAGGCCCAGCTGGTGGCGCTCGTCATGCGAGGGGGGGCGTTCCCCACAGTTGAAA